AGGGCGCGCGCTGTGCAGGGCCGCAGGGCGCGACGCACGGGGCAGCAGAGCGCGACGCGCGGGCTGCAGTAGGGCACGACGCGCGGAGCAGCAGAGCGCGATGCGCGGGCTGCAGTAGGGCGCAACGTGCGGGCTGCAGCAGGGTGTGACGCGCGGAGCAGCAGACCACGACGCGTGGGGCAGTAGGGCGCGACGCGCTGGGCTGCAGGGCAGGGCGGTGCAGCTCGCGAGCTGCGGAGCAGGGCGGCGCGCCGGCCTAAGGGCAGGGCAGCGCGATGCACGGGCTGCAGGGCAGCTGGGCGCGGGCTGCAGGGCAGGGCGGCGCGCGCTGGGCAGGGCAGCAGGGCGCGACTCGCAGGCTGCAGCAGGGCGCAACGTGCGGGGGGCAGGCAGTGCGAGTAGTTGCAGGGCAGCGCCACACTGTGCGAGCAGGGCCGGACAGCGCAAGGGCGCTTCGAGCAGGAACGAGGGGAACTATCGGTGGGCCCTAAAAACTTAATAGGTTTCCTGCTCTGATACCATGTCAGAATCCCAACCACTTAGACCATTGGGATAAAAGGGCTTGTTTGTGTAGCGGGTTTGTGCGCCCATAGCCCCCCAGGCGAACGCGCTTGTAACCCTCCTAGGATCAATCGGGCATCCACAGTGCAGGTCTACTGACATTTACCAGGCAGAATCTCCTCCGAATCTATAGCCTTGAACAGCGTCACCAGCGACAGCAACCACTCCACACATCGTGCATGTCGCTCGAGACAGCCACCGAACTTGGTGTATGCCCTGGACTTCCAAGCTTGTCTCTGTGAAGAGCTGTTGGAGGTCCATGAACCGTTGGTGCTACGGGGCAGAGCGTCCCAGAAGGTCAGCCGTTACGCGGACGAGGTCGTCGACCATGTCGAAGACTGGTAGAGCTTCGGCCGCCTCCTTAGCGGCAAGCGCCTCCCTGCGATGAAACATAATGGATGTATTAGAACTATGAACAAACCGGGCAAGATGCAACAACACCCGCACTTGTGGGCGATGCAGTGACACGAGATGTGGTGTGGGACCCTCTCTCGTAGGCGAACCACCAGTCCAGCTTGACTCCCCATCATCACCCCAGCACCGTCGGTGTTGATGCCCGAAATCATCTGCACCTCGACACCAACTGCCTGCAAGTGAGAGAGCAGCAGACTCAACAGGGTGGATGCGTCAGCTTACTCAACAGTGATCAGTTGCAGAAACTCTGACACGAGTTTGTTGTCACGGATGAACGTGGCGTAAACTATCATGTGCTTGCCCCTGCAGAGATCGGTGCTTTCGTCGAGGCTGATGCCAATGAACGGGCTTCAGAGGATGTGCTCCTGTTGAGTCGTTTGCAGCTAGGCTTCCATTGATTGCACCAGTTAGCCATAGCCATACCTGCCATTCAAAAACAACATGGTATTATCAAAACCGAGCATTCATTGTTACGAGGACATATGTACTAAATACTCACGTGGTGTAGTAGGTCCCGTAACCTTTCTTCGGGAATCCTTGAACCCCCTTATGCGCTAGATACTGCACCAACTTCACCCATGTCCCCATGGGTGCGTCGCACCGGCTGACGAACAGAAGCACGTCCAGCAGTGATACAACACGGACCTTCTTAGCATCGACGGCCACACGATGCTCGTTGATGCGAGGCTGCTAAGTCGCGGCAGCAGGCAGGGCCTCTTGCTTCTCCAATGCCAGCTTGTACTTCCGCGTCCCGGCGTGCTTGCAAAACGCTTGGGTCTGGACGTCGGTCACACCTTTGCCGGTCCTGCCACATCGTCCCCTGACACCAGCGTGCTTGGAGTAGAGACTGCTCTTGAAAGCAGGCAGACCACGAACATTTTTTGTTAGGACAAGCCACGGAAAGCTCTCTACCCGCTTTGTTTTTTACTTCTCCAAAGCATCGGCATAGATAGCATCGACGAGCTCTTGCACGTTGATGTTCAGAGAAGGGCGCACGGTGGATTCGGTGACGACAGGTTCAGAGACTGGGGCGCTTGATGAAGACTTCCTGAAACTCAGCCGTTGCTGCTTGAGTTTGACTTTGCGCGGAGCAGACGATTTCGATGTCGATGTCCCGACGAGAACTTTGTCGGAAACACCAGCAGTCGCAGGAGTGCCTGCCCGTATAGAATCCGGGCTAGAAGGCTCAGCGGGTGTCTCAGGAACGGGAGGATCTGGATCTGGTGGGGTTGGCAATGGAGGTTGAATATGGGGGCCTAGAGAGCTAAGAAGAAGATTGAGGCCCGTACGGGCTTCCTCGATGGCGTCAGCGTCAGCGGGGTCTAAATCCGCTCCGTCCTCGTCGTCAGAATGGGCATGGCGGAACAGTGAAGAGAGAGTGTGCCGAGCACCGTCCCGGCTAGAGGAGAATGAAGCAAAACCCTGGCGAGGATGGGTGTGGTAGGGTGGGCCTGCAGGAACAAGATGGGATGGGGGTAATCAAGAAGGAGCTGGTGAAGAAGGGTTTGTTGCAAGGCGGCGCGTCGGTTGCCAGCATGCACGAACCTGGTTGCAGGTTCGGGGTGGGTGATGTGGGGGTGGTTGCCTAGTCGCGCGACAACAATGTGCTTGGGTGTGCTATGCTGCTGCATCGTGCGTGCGAGATGCTGTTAACGTGCCATTCGCCAGAAAGTGATGTGGTTGCCCAAAACAACCAATCACGAGCGAAGAGACCTGCGCTCCGCGACAGCAGTGCAAGGTAAGTGAGGGAATGATGCCACTTCCTAGTGCGTTGGCAGGGAATCTTGACATCTCGCCGTGATTGACGGGGGGTCGGTCCTTCCGGTGTACCTAGACAGCCGGAATTCAGGGCACCTACGCGAATCCCCTTTAAAGCAATTTCAGCCCACCCCCTCAAGGCAACTCTGATCAGTCAGTGTGTAGTACAGAAAAAAAAAACTGAAAATTCAGCGATACGTTAAAAAAAATGCTGCCACTTCAACCCCACTATCTCCCCAGCACTGAAAACACATCCTTTTTACCCCTAATCAGCCTTTTTTCGCTGACTTCTGAGGGCCTGCTTGTCGAATCCCACAACGTGTGGGAGTCTACCACCCCGTGTCTTTGCTGTTGTCACGTCCTCATGGGCCGAGCTTGATGGGGATCACCGCGTCCGCTAGGAATTTGAGAAAAGTCCTTGCATTCTAACATAAATAATATGGCATCAACCATCCAATAACATTCGAACCTTTTTCTAGTCTCGTGCGGGCGAAAGGCAATTTCGAGGTGCATAATGGCGGAGACTGCCAGTCTGTTTATGTGACGGAGGTGGCGGTGCCATAGCGCGCTGCTGCTGTGAGGGCGGGTTTCACTTTCAATACCATGGAACCTTCACCGCTCTGAACCAGTACTCACCAACCTAAACAGTGGTACGTACATGAACTGTAAACAAGCTTGACCCACCCTGAGGCAAATCTTGGTTTGCCAGGGTTCCTGACGCTTCAAGATAGGCCATAGCACTCCACGTCCCGCAGATAGTCCTGTGATGGGCAGATCACGATTCATGAACGTCCCATCCCATCCCACCCACGTGTACTGTTTGACAGTGTTGTTCCGCGTTACAACAAGCAAAGTGTGCTTTGGTTGGTGCCCCTCAGACTGTACTGTACTGTACCGACCAAGCCGAGCAGTGCCAGCACAGAAGCCAGGAAACAAGAACAGTCCACTAAAATGAGAGGGAAAATCGTTCAAATGGCTGGAAAGCGAATCAGGAACAGAGAGGGCGCGGCAGGACAGAAAATTGCTCTCTTGAACACCAAAACACAGCACTTTAAACAGGAACTGCCAAAGGAAAAAAAGAAAACCAAACAAGCAATGCTGCAGCGGCAGCAAGCGGGCTTCACTCCAGCTTCTATGTAGAAGAAACTGGTACGATGGTCAGGATCAGTGCCTATGATTCACTTTTAGGCACGTTAATTCATCAGGGTCCCTCTGTTTAGAATCCTTGGTCGTCAGTGTCCCAAAAAAAAAAGCCTGAAAATTCAGTGTTACCTTCAAAAAAAAGTCTGATGCATCAGTGTTCCCTTTTTGTAAAGGCTGATATTGAACTTAAAATAAGATAACACTAGGCAGGAACGCGATGAAACCCCAAGCGGATGGAAGGAAAGCATGGAGCAGAATGGAATGGGAGCCTGGATGGCAAGTAGCACGGCTGGGCGATGTGGATGCATTAGTGCTTGCTAGCACGACTTAGACAAAACGGGCCACAGGACCACAGGTGCAAGCAATGGGCCAGAAACCCTCCCATCGCAGCCTGTCAGCATCGCTCTGTTGCAACCTTGTCATTGGTCAACCCACATAATGCTGCAAAAGTGGCCAATGATTGGACCAAACGCGCCAACAAAGCAGCCCTCAAAGCGAATAACACGGGGCAAATTTGTCTGGTAGTCACCGCCAGGCGGTGCTGACACCGCGGGAATCTGAGATTCCCTGTACCGGTACTTCCATGCAACTACACTCGGAACGTGTAGGAATCGCATTCAGTGTCACTTTCGTTACAACGAAGTGTAATCAGTGTCCCTTCAAAAAAAAAAAACCTGAAAGTTCAGAGTCATCTGGCCCCTAAAGGCTGAAAAATCAGTCCCCCAAAAAGCTGAACACAAGAAAATCAGGGTAGGTAAAAAAAAATCCCAGAAAATAAGGAATTTCAGGAAAAAATTCCTGATATCGTAGGGCCTGGTCAGGATGGTGGGTTGGAGGACAAGGTGAGAAGCAAAAAAAAAAGACTAGGAATCGCAGATTATCTATAGCCAGCTGAGTGAGCTGAATCTGGTGCGCTCCTTGCTGCCCCACAGGGTTTCTTCTTTCATTGGTGCACTCATGGATGTGAGGCCACGCATGCACTGCAGTGCTGATTGCCATACGCTGCAGTGCTGACCGTTAAGGACCAGATTTACTCGCCGCTGCTGACACAGCAGTCACTTATAATTCTTCAAGAGTCCAGAGCCGAAAAGCAACCGATGAGCCAAGCCGTAGTCAATCCCACTTCAGAACAGCGAAAGCCAGTTACGCTTCCTGCTCTGTTCCCCCACCTCCGCCGTCCCCATCTCCTCATCCCCTGTTTGATCACCCCTATCACCACCTCCTTCCTCCTTCTCCACCCCCTCCTCCTCCTCCTTTACATTCCCCAGCCGCCCCTGCCCACACCCCTCGAGGGGAGAACCATTCACCCACCCCTCCCGTCTGCCCCCCTCCTCAGCTAATTTTGGAGACTTAGCAAAAACTAATCGCTCTGCACCCTCCTCCCGACCATTCACGGCCCAGTTATGCTCCACCACCAATTCCAACCTGGAAGGTTCTCGAGAGTCGGGAGCACTTGAGCCCATGTGTTGTGGTAAGTGGGGTTCTTGACAGTCACTCACACTCGAATCCACCACTGTTGGTAAAGGCCCTTCCTGAGAGTTCTCAACCGCGCCCTTCTCGCCTGCAGCTCCTGCTGCCCCCGGCTGTGTGCTTCCGTTCATAGCATGCCTCAGCACGCTATCGTCGTCGTCTGCTGCTGCTGTTGCCTGCTTCCCCTGCTGGTCTTGTGGTATCCTCTGCATTTCCTGCCTGCCTCCTGCTGCCCCCTGCTGTGTGCTTCCATTCATAGCATGCCTCAGCACACTATCATCATCCGCTGCTGCTGCTGCTCCCGCCTGCATCCCTTGCTGGCCTTCTGCTGGCCTCTCAATCCCCTGCTCGCCTGCTGCCCCCTGCATACCCTGCTCCGCTGCTGTTGGCCCATGTATTCCCTGGCCCGCTGCTGTTGGCCCATGTATTCCCTGCTCCGCTGCTGTTGGCCCATGTATTCCCTGCTCCGCTGCTGTTGGCCCATGTATTCCCTGCTCCGCTGCTGTTGGCCCATGTATTCCCTGGCCCGCTGCTGTTGGCCCATGTATTCCCTGCTCCGCTGCTGTTGGCCCATGTATTCCCTGCTCCGCTGCTGTTGGCCCATGTATTCCCTGCTCCGCTGCTGTTGGCCCATGTATTCCCTGGCCCGCTGCTGTTGGCCCATGTATTCCCTGGCCCGCTGCTGTTGGCCCATGTATTCCCTGGTCCCCTGCTGACTTGCCCAACGTGCTGCTTTCACCTGCTGCTGCTGGCCCCACAAGACTGCGTCCGGGCTGTGCCTGCTGCAGAGTGCTGCTGCTGTTGCGAGCACTACTGAAGCCTACACCGCCCAGGGACAGTGTCAGGTCCTTCCCTGTGGGTGGTGATGCTCGGGGGAGTGACACAGGTGGTGGCGTCTGGGAGTGTGTAAGAGGTGGTGCCGGCTGCGCGTGTGTGGCAGATGCTGGCACCCCGAAATGTGCGGTGGGTGTTGCTGCTACAGACGGTGCTGCAGGTGACGAGTTAGCACGGAGGTGCATTCCAGTTGGTAGGGCCAAGAGTGGTAGGGGCAAGGGTGCTGCTGCTCCGAGTAGCGTGGCGGGAACATTAGGGGGAGCTGTAGCAGGGGAGGCAGAGGGGAGGTTAGAGAGGGCGGTAGCGGGGGGAGCAGAGGGGACGGCGAAGGGACGAGCAGGGAGGGCAGCAGCGGCTGGGGATGGGGTGAAACCAGGTGGTGGCTCGAGAGGGGGGATGGCATGGTTTCCATGTAGGTAGCTTATAGATGTGGCCTGCTGTTGCTGTTGCTGTTGCTGGTGCTGTTGCTGGTGCTGTTGCTGGTGCTGTTGCTGTTGCTGTTGCTGGTGCTGGTGCTGGTGCTGGTGCTGTTGCTGGTGCTGTTGCTGGTGCTGTTGCTGTTGCTGTTGCTGTTGCTTTTGCTGTTGCTGGTGCTGGTGCTGGTGCTGGTGCTGGTGCTGGTGCTGTTCGTACTGTGGATGCTGTTGCACATGGTCCTGTTGTAACCGTTGCTGCTGCTGCTGCTGCTGCTGCTGCTGCTGCTGCTGCTGCTGCTGCTGCTGCTGCTGCCGCTGCTGCTGCTGCAGATGATGTAGGTGCTGCTGCTGCTGATGCGGGTGCCGCAGTGGATGCAGATGCTGCTGCTGCAGCACGGTTTGCTGCAGTTGAGCGTTCTGCCAACTCACCTGCCGCCGCCTCATCTCAGCATCTCCCACCCTTTCACCTTCAATATTCTCCTGCTGCACTCCCTGCACCACGCTACCTGGGGCATGTATGCTGGTCGCTCCTGCTCCTGCCTCTGCTTCTGCTCCTGCTGCCGCCACTGCTGCCACTCCTGATTCTGGTTGTGCACTTGCCGCCACCACTGCTGCTGCTGCCGCCGCGGCTGCTGATATGGCATCTGCTGATTGGAGGAGTGCCTGGACGGCAGTGGGCGCGGCACTACCAGGGAAAACGGTGGTAGGAGCAGGGGAGTTTAAAGAAATAACAGGGGAAGTTACCCCAGAAAAAGGTTGAGCTGTTGCAGGAGGCGGCGGCGGTGTGGTCGCAGCCGAAGGTGGTTGAGGAAGAATCTGGGGAATTTACCCCCAAAAAAGCTGTAAACAGGGCAGGAGAAGTAGGAGCGGTAGGAATCTGGGGAGAAGGAGGAGGGCCTGGTCCCTGGTTTGGGTTAAGTGTTGCTGAAGTAATTACTGCTGGGCTAAGTGCTGCAGGTGTTCCTGCTGAGGAGTTGTGCTGATTGTGCAACGCCGGTAATACTTTGAGGTGCGAGGGGGGGAATGGAGGCGGTGGCATGGGAGTGTGCAGCGGTTGAGACAGGTTGGTGGTGAATGGAGGTGGCATGGGAGTGTGCGGCGGTTGAGACAGGTTGGTGGTGAATGGAGTTGAGTGGAGATTTTCGGGATTGAAGGTGACAGAGGTAGGTGCAACAGCGAAATGCTGTTGCTGCCGTTGGTGGTGCTGCTGCTGCTGCCATTGTTGTTGCTGCTGCTGTTGCTGTTGTGGCTGTTGCTGCTGGTGCTGGTGCTGTTGCTGTTGCTGTTGCTGCTGATGCTGTTGCTGTTGATGCTGGTGCTGTTGCTGTTGCTGCTGTTGCTGCTGCTCGTACTGGTGCTGAACGTACTGCTGCTGCTGCTGCTGCTGCAGAATTCGTTGCTGCAGCTGCTGCAGCAGTTGCTGCTGGAGCTGCTGCTGTAGCTGCTGCTGCAACTGGTGGTTCAGTTGCATCGACAACGGTCCCATGGCACCAGCAGCAAAACCGGGGTTCCCAAGCAGGGAACTCGAGCTGCTGCTGCTGTGACCCATGCCGCTTGGTACAGCCTGAGAAACTGCAAAGGCTGGAAGCATGCTGTTAGCAGCGGTAGAAGCAGGGGCGAAGGGGTTTGCACTCGCAGGGGCGAAGGGGTTTGCACTCGCAGGGGCGAAGGGGTTTGCACTCGAAGGGGCGAAGGGGTTCGCATTTGCACCATCCACTGAACTTGCTGCAGCACCAGGAACTGCCGCAGAAGCAGCAGGTTGTGGCGTCCCGTTTGGGGTGGCAGCAGGGGGTGTTGTCCAATTGGCTGGACCATGTGTCGCTCCCGCGTTGGCAGGAGAAAAAGGGTGCGCTGCCCCGTTAGGTGCAGCAGTGGCAGCAGCAGTAGCAGGATGAACTGGCGCGTAGGGAGCAGCAGCAGCAGCAGCAGCAGCAGCAGCAGCAGCAGCAGAAGCAGCAGCAGAGGCAGCAGCAGAAGAGTGTGCTGCCCCGTTGGGAGGGCGGAGGGAGGCGGCAAGAGCAGAGAGGGTGGCAGTGGAGGGGAAGGAGGAGGAAGGGGAGGAGGAGGAGGAGGAGGGGAAGGGAAAGGAGGGGAGGGCGGATGGGGGGAGCCAGGGCAGCATGGCGTGCATGCGCATCTGCAGCTGCGCCTGCAGCGCCTCCACCTCCATGCGCAGCAGCTGCCGCTCCTGCCTCACCTCCTGCTTCTCCGCTGACAGCTGTTTTGGGCAAGGGCGGGCGGGGGGGAGAGGGGGGGGGGGGGGAGGAGAATGTGCGGACGGGTGAGTGAGCGGGTGGAAGTGGAGTTGTGTGAGAGAGTAGGTGGGTGGGTGGGAGTGGATGGGTGGGAAAGAAAGAATGCTGCGTCCAGTGCGTGCATGCGCATCTGCAGTTGCGCCTGCAGCGCCTCCACCTCCATGCGCAGCAGCTGCCGCTCCTGCCGCACCTCCTGCTTCTCCGCTGATAGCTGCTCAAGGTTGGGCGGGTGGGGAGGTTTGGGCGTTTGGGTGGGTGGGAGAGAGGGTGGGTGGGTGGGTGGGGGGGTGGGGGTGGGTGGGGTTGGGTGGGTCAGAAGAAAGGGACGCTGCTTCCGTGCAAGGAGCCAAGGGCCGAGCCACGGGCCTAGCCACGGGCCAAGTAGAGACATGGAGGAGCAAGATGCGAGTTCACCTCCTTGGCTTCCCCTGACAGCACAAGGTGCTCCGCCCTCAGCGCCGCGACGGTGGAGCGCAGCTCTCTCAGTGCTTTCTAAGTTGACTAAGAAATCACTTTTGAGATTTCTCAAAGGTGGGCTCTCACCTCCTTGGCTTCCCCAGACAGCACGCAGTGCTCCGCCCTCAGCGCCGCCACCGTGGAGCGCAGCTCTCTCAGCGCTGAGAGGCTGTCCCCCAGCACCGTCGCCTTGTCGCTCTTGGGCTTGCTGGGATCTGCCAGATGTAGCATACAGCAGCGAGGAGGGAGGACAGAACGGTACGCAGATGTAGTGTTGTGAAGTGGAGGGGTGCTCGGCGTTTGGAATGCTGAGAGGCTGTCCCCCCTCACCGTTGCCTTGTCAATCTTGGGCTTGCTGGGTTCTGCCACCTGCAGCACACAGCAAGGAGGAGACGAAATGGCATGCAGATTGAATGCTGTGAAGTGGAGTCGTGTGGTGCTCGGCGCTGGAATGCTGAGAGGCTGTCCCCTCGCACCGTTGCCTTGTCACTCTTGGGCTTGCTGGGTTCTGCCCCATGCGGCACACAGCAACGAGGACCGTTAGAGAGGAGAGCGGCGGGAGGACACAGGAGAGAGGGGAGAGGGGAGAGAGGAGAGAGGAGAGAGGGGGGAGGAGAGGGGAGAGAGGAGAGAGGAGAGAGGAGAGAGGAGAGGTGGGAGAGGAGAGGGGAGAGGGGAGAGAGGAGAGAGGAGAGAGGAGAGAGGAGAGAGGAGAGAGGAGAGGGGAGACATGAGAGGGGAGAGAGGAGATAGTAAAGGGGGGAGAGGAGAGAGGATAGCGGAGGAGATGAGAGAGGAGAGGAGACAGTAAACAGGAGACAGGAAGGGTGAAGGGGAGAAGGGGAGAAGAGACAGGGGACAATGGAGAGGAGAGATGAGACAGGAGAGAGGCGATAGGAGGCAGGAGGCAGAAGAGCAGAGTCAGGAGGCAAGGGAGGGGAGAAAGGAGACAGTAGAGAGAAGGCAGGGGAAGAAGACAGCAGACAACAAGAGCAGGGAGTGGATAAGAAGACACGCAGATTAATGTCTGTGAGGCGGAGCAGGGCACAGCTGATAGAGTGCTGAAAGACTCTCTCCCACCAATGCTGCCTCTTGACTCTCAGAGACAGCTGCCAAAGACAGCACGCGAGCAGGAGAGGGAGAGAGACACGGAGCAGCGAGCATGCGAGAGAGAGAGAGAGATACACGGAGCAGCGGGCAGGAGAGGGAGAGAGACACGGAGCAACGAGCAGGAGAGGGAGAGAGACACGGAGAAGCGGGCAGGAGAGGGAGATAGACACGGAGCAGCGAGCAGGAGAGGGAGAGATACACGGAGCAACGAGCAGGAGAGGGAGAGAGACACGGAGCAGCGAGCAGCGGAGCTCAACTCTCGTGGCGCTTGCTTTCCCTATCGGAGCTGTCTGAGCTTCCTGAGACTGACATAGGCAGCAGAGAAGCAGTCAGTCATCAGATACGGAGCTCCAACGTTGCATGATGGTCGCTGTGCTAATCTTGGGCTTTCCCGGACTGGCCACAGACAGGAAAGAAACAGAATCAAATCGTGATCTCCAGCACCAAAACTCTGGTGAAGATTTTATCTCAAACAATCCTCGAGAGGCCAATGAAAGGGGTGCGATGATGAAAATTTATTACTCAAGAACGCCGCGATCATGGGGGTTTGTGGGTCACGAGGCGATGTGCTCCTCCCACAGCATGATGTGCAGTGTCCGTCAAGGTCAACGGTTGCCATTTGGTCCTGAACATAGTTGTGGGGTTGCTGTTCGTCCCCGTAACATTGTGTCGACGTGTGACGCAACAAAGAATTCAAATTATCGTTACTTCAAGGCTCAGGGAGTTCCCAAAAAAGGTGTGCTTCACCCAACGTCGGACCCGGAAAACAGTTGTAAAAAGTCCTCGTCAATGTCGGCCTTCAGGTGAATAGTTGACCCTTTTTCCCGGGTTTCCTAATTTAAGAAGCCAAGCGAATAGCTTACGTCCGGCGGTAGGACTACTCACCAAGAACTGTCGCGAGCTCGGTGAATTGATCATTCAGCTTGTCGCGACGCAATTTCTCTCTGTCTGCTTTCTGAAGCTTCTTATCGGAAATTCCGTCGCCTCCGCATCCCTTACCCCCCTCGTCTTCCGATCCCGCTGATCTTAGGCTAATAACTCGTCGTAACTCATCGTCTGTCATCGTTGCAAAATAGAATGAAATGACAACACAAGAAACACGGACTTTTCTTCCAAAGAGCCGAGCTACGAAACTGCTACAGACAGTAATCCTCCATTCCAAAAGTCACCTATTTTCTGGGGCACACAGAAAGTGATTCCGTGGCTTCACGCGCATGACTGTGCAACAAAAGCATCTGTGCCAGAAATTGTGAACTTCCAGCCTGAGTTCTCACTCCGTGGCTTGCTAAGCTAGTTGGGGAACCAAACCTCACTCCCTCTCCAGCTCGAAGTTCAGTACAGCTCTCCACGTGAGTGGAGAGAAAAGTTGTGACTAGTCGTCTCGCCACTCGTCACTCTCAACTCATCCAGGCTGGAAGGAAAACGCTTCAATTGTCGCAGAGGATCGAAGAGATCACGAAAATGTGGCGTCCACGGACTCCACGCATGGGAGTGAAAGCTGGGGGCTGTCGCGCAGCAAACGGACAGCCAAGGTAGCGAGAAGGCAGACAACAAGGATAAGATAGGATGGGGTCGATCGACCCTTGAGAAGGCGAAGGGATCTTCGAGGGGCATCCATCCATTTCGTTGTGTGGCGTGTGTGGTGTTGTGGTGTTGAAAGGAATGCGATTTGGAGATTGGGATGTGATGCGATGCGTGTTCGGGCGAGAGAAATTCCAAGAAAATTTCCTGTGAAGGCGAGCTAAAGTAACACAATGAATCTTCCCACTTTTGCTGGAAGGTAACATCCGACTTTGATGCTTACGCCTAATCTACGTGACGGTATATTGAAACATAACTCTTTTCTGAAAACACGGCAAGGCTCCGTTGCTTATTTTTTCGTGTTGTACAGTACATGCGTGGCATTGCAGAAAGCATCCAAAACCCTCCACTTGCGATGGGGCCCGCTAATCAATGCCAACAACACTTCGCAGCTGTGTTCAAGTTCACACCACCAAAGCTGGTTCGGGCTCCACTATGACTTCCTTTTCTAAATTGAGTGCACTTTGTTTCCTTGTTTGATAGCCTAGCAAACTGGACTCCATAAGAAACAATTATCCAAACTGACTGTGTTCTTCGTGTCAATTGAGATTGAAGGAGACAGTTACAGGGCCTGTGTAGCGGTAGAGGCTGCTCAAGATGAAGACCCGAAATTAGTGCAGACATGTCATATTTCAACCTAAATAAAAGTCGGATTTCGAAACTGCTGGGTTGTAGAGAAAGCACTTGGTGCAGAAAAGGCATATTTCGCTATCCTTTTGGCCTACGTTGTAACGGTGTTCCATCCGATCGAGTTTGAGGAAACCCAAACTTCAGCCATGCCACTACTCAGCCAACCACCGCACACGTGCTGCCAGGCCTTGATAAACCATTGTCTACGTCAGGGACACACAACTCTCGTGTGGGTCCTTTCCTTCGCAACCGGTGAATGTGCGACGGCGAAGACGTTTATGTATTTTGGACATGGCATGTGTTCCCGCGGCAGTCTAATAAGGAATTACAGGCTAACCTTGGGGCTGTCCCGTCAAACTGCCAAATTGACAAGCTTTGCAGGCTAACTCTGCCAACAAAGGGGAGCGAGTGAGAGTGGGAAAAATATACGGATCCAGAAAGAGTTTGAAGTATACATTGTGTCCGAGAAAAAAAAAAAAAAAAAAGCCGGCGGTGAATCACCAACGACCGCCTGCTCTGAATTATTGGTAGCATTGGCCCGCTGATCTTGATAAGGTTCCTCGCATCCAACCAGAAATCATGTTCGCTCCTCGCGACTGCTCTGGGCACAAGAGTTTTCAAACGCGAGTGGCGTCAGTTTCGGTAACTGTACACTGTACAGAACAAATTGCTCACAAACAATGGGAATTTCTGGCTGACCTCTCGAATGTTGTTGGTGGGATGCTGACTGCGATGAGCAGCCCCATCGGTTCGATCACATGCGACGCGGTAAAAGTAGGAGCATCGCAGGATCGCGATTGTATTCACTACTTGTGCACAATATGTCGACAAAATCGATACTGTAGCATGATTACAAGTCCGTAAACAGAGTAACTGACCCGCACATCGATCGCAGCTCACGATCGATCGTCTACTTTTACCGCGTCCTCATGTGTTTGCTTGGCTCCCCTGGACTCTGCTTGGCAGCACCGAGCAGCACATCGCGTGTTCGGCGTGGTGGCACTCACTGCAGACAAATCCAAGAAAACGGCGCCAGTGGAAAAAACCAACCCTTTACGACGAGAGGCGACAAATCACATATTTCCTCAAGTACACATTGTTTTTCGCTAGAGTGGCATCGGGTGTAGAGCGCGGTTCCTAGAACCTCATTGTACCAAGGAGGACGCTTTCACACACCATATATACCAGTCGCATCTCGTTTAAAAGTCAGGCAGAAAATGAATTTGAAAAAGGACAGCAGTGATGGGTAGATGTTAAATCCACAGCAGACCAGTGCAGTCAGAGCAAGTAGAGGACAAGCTGGCTGTCATGTCATGACACGCCAAGTCTTAAACCTACACGGTATTTCCCCCCCCACTTGACCTCCTCATCAGTACTCTCTCAAACCTTTGAAATCCTCATCAGGCAGAGAGGCAAAAGCAAAGGGCTCTAACTTGTACCCATCGCCGACATAGAACTTGCTTATAAACTCAATTCGTTGCTGCAGCCCGAGCACGTGCAGAACGGGTTAACCTCAACCCTCCTAATCTCCCAACTCTTAGTCCTCATCGTCAGGCAGAGAGGCAAATGCAAACGGCACAAACTGGTACCCGTCGCCGACATAGAACTTGTTCATGAACTCCACCCAGTGCAGCCTGAGCGCGTGCAGGAAGGCACTGAGTGTCTCCATCAGCAGCAGCACGCCCACTGTGGCCGCTGCAAACACCAATGAACCAATCAGAATGGCCAACACGTTGCCAGAGCTGCCAGGGGAGCATGAGATGCGGGGTTGGAGACAACGGGGTGAGGGAGGAATGGGGCCAGTGGGAAGGGGAGGGGGAGGGGAAGTGGGAGCGGGGAGGAAGGGGGATGGGAGAGGAGGCAGGTTGAGGCGATTGGAGCAAAAGGAGAGAGGAAACTGCTATCGGAGCGACAAGAAACGAGGGAAGGGTGGCTCACGAGGCACCCATGAAAGCAGATGAGGGTTGCAAGAGATGCAGAGGGCGGCAGACAGGCAGATCGATCATAAGTGAAGACCCATGTGACATGCGTGCATGTGAAGACAATGGAAAGAAGTCAGTGAGCATACAGAAACTTCGGGAGAGGAGGTGGTGGGATAGGCAGCGATAAACGGACGGCACGGACGGGACAGTGGAGGGGAACAGCATTGAAGGGAGAGGCAGCAAAGTAACGAGCGCAAGGGCAGGTTTCAATATTGTAAGCATCTGAACCATCTACCACTCGAGGGGCGGCACAAGTGGGAGAGGCAGCAACGTATATGATATAACGTACGCGAGGGCGGGTTCCAAGACTCGCTCGTAGAAGACCGCTGAGAGCTGCGCGTGCGCCAGGCTGCAGACAGCGGACAGGGTGTGAGTGAGACGAAAAGTATACCCCTTATTTCTATCATACGAGGCTTCTCAAACCGAATTTCGCACAAGACAGCTGCAAACTGCGCGTGCCTGTGACGTGTAGGAAAGAACGAGTTGGTTGAATACATTGCTTGGGGTGGCTTGAACCTAGACTAGCAGCAGATGGCTGAGAGAGGTGAGGGCGTGTGGGAGAGCAGGCATGAGGGATGGACTGGGTGCGGGATGGGGAGGGCGAGTGTGCTCATGATGCCACACGCACGGCGTGCACTGCAGCACCGAGACAATATAATTCACCCGACACAATCTACCTGAGAGACTTCACCCGATTTTTTTTTTTTTTTTTTTTCCGAACAGCTCACCCCACACAATTCATCCACGTCAATTCACCCCAGTAAGTTTACCCGAGACAATTCACCTGAGTAAATTCACCTGAGCGCCCAGAGGCGGAGGTAGGACGCGGTGTTGGAGACGGCACCGAGCACAAACTCGATGCAGTGAATCATCTGGTGCACCATCACCTCCCCGAACTCAAACTCCTCCTCCTCGCCCTCTCCCTTCTCCCCGTTCGCCCCCGCCTCGCCCTCGCTGCCTGGCAGTGCGTGGTACGTGCGCCCTGCCATCTTCTGAAGGGGGGATTGGGTGGGGGAGGGGGAGTGGGAGTGGGAGGGGGAGTGGGAGGGGGAGGGGTAGGGGGGTAGGGGGAGGGGGAGCGGGAAGGAAGGAAAGAGGGAGGGGGAGAGGGAGGGGGAGAAAATGTGAGCATATGGTGTTTAGGTGCATCCTGTCATCTTCTGGAGGGGGAAAGTGGCTGGACGCATGGTATGGGCTCCAGCTGCAGACATTGAGGGAGTTGGACACATTAATGAGTGGTGGTGGTAGGTATGGTTGACAACAAATCCACCCACACAACCGTGTTGGTTGGTTGGAAACCAAGCGTGCGAGAGCGTAATTGGAAGCAAGGTATTGCTAGCGGGCAAGCGCACAGTGTGTGTGTGTGTGTGTGTGTGTGTGTGTGTGTGTGTGTGTGTGTGTGTGTGTGTGTGTGTGTGTGTGTGTGTGTGTGTGTGTGTGTGTGTGTGTGTGTGTCTAACGGTATCAGGAAAGCGGGGAGAGGGAAGGAGGGGGGGCGGTGGGTTGGGGTGGAAAGGGGGGGGGGGTGTAGGACGACGGGATAAGGCGAGAAAAAGCTACCCCCACGTGTTGCTCTCTTCCCTCACCCCATCGCTCTCCCTCACTCGCATCGCTCTCTCCCCCCTTTCCCGCCCTTCCCCCCCGATCCCCAACGCTCTTTTCCTTGCCTCGCCCCCATGCGCCTCGTGCTTTCTCTCTCCCCTCACCTGGATGTGCTGGGCGCGGAGGATGAGGGGCTTGGGCAGCAGCATCCACGGCACCGCGATGAGCGCGATAAAGAGAAGGAGAATCTGCAACACACGCACATGGAGCAACAAACGTGCATGCACGCCACCCATGTATGCACACACGCACGCATGCACACACAAGGCAGGGGGGCCGATTGGACTCAAGATGGGTTTTTAAAAGCAATGGGAAGACCTGGGAGCATGTGCACACTTGCCTGACCTGCACTGCACTCTCACACCAGCCACACGTCCCATTCATGCGATCAATACTTTCGCTTGCTTACAGAATCACATGCCTTCATTCCCTCCCAATTTCACATACCCTCTCTCATACTACCACATACTCTCACTCACTCACACTACGTGCCCCTCTCTCTCTCTCCACCAGACACTGCCTCTCGCCTTCATAATATTTCAACTCAGCAGGCTCTCTCCCTACAGATCCGCCTGGGAGCTGCAATGTCCTCCCTTGCACTCACTCATGCATTCATTCTGACCCCCTCAGCGCACTTGCCCTGATCTGCGACACTATACCCCTTTGGCTCCCCTGCACTGCTCTGCGCTAATCTACATTCCATCTATCCATCTATCCCCTCACCTGCACGGTGCCCTGGCCGTAGAACAGCTCGTTGTCACCCAGCGGCTTGACGGGGTTGAGGAACATGTAGATCATCACGTGGTACAGGTCCGCCTGGGAGGCCCCAATAGCACAGTCACATCCACTCAACCCTGCACTGCCAAGCACTGCTCTGATTTTCCCCAAGCCCACGCTCACCTGCACGGTGCCCTGACCGTAGAACAGCTCGTTGTCGCCCAGCGGCTCGACAGGGTTGAGGAACATGTAGATCATGACGTGGTACAGGTCCGCCTGGGAGCCCGTGACCCACTTGAGGATGATCAGCATCGACAGGTAGCCAAACAGCGAGCCCAGGAAGAGCATCTGCGGGATGAACTCGTACCTGGGGAAGAAGGGAGCGAAGAGGGTGAGGGGATGAGAGGGGGTGGGAGGGGATTGGGTGGGGGGGAGGAGGGAGAAGGGATGCGAAAGGAGAATGGAAAGCGTGAGAGGAGGGAAAGGAATAAAGAAAACAGGGAAGACGGATGACAGAGAGGAGTGAGAGGCAGGAAAGCGAACTCTGAAAAGGCAAGCTGAAGAACAGAAGCCAAGCTGAAAGTTCCAAGCCAAAGCATAGAGACCAAATGTTGAGACAATGCTGCCGCCAAACATCGTGACTGGTGCACTATTCGCCCTGGCGTGCCGACCAGATACCATCCCACTCATACCAGATACGGATGTTGCTAGCACTGAACAGCTGTTGCTGGCGCTGACCAGATGTTGAGAGGCTTCTTTAAGAACTGGGCGTTGAAGGAGAGGATGATGCCGGCAAACATCCGAGGTGATGTTGCATTCACTCATCTAGGCATACCGACCGAGCAGACACGGCTAGGCTAACACCCACCCACGGCATGCGGCTGGAACTGACCAGATGTTGAGGGGCTTCTTGAAGAACTGGGCGTTGAAGAAGGAGAGGATGATGCCGGCAAACATCTGTGTGACGCCGAGGATGATGCTCATCTTCATCTTGAGCGAGTTCAGGAACGGCAGCTCCGTGCGCGACCCCTTCCACGCCGGGTCCACCCCGAACAGGTACGTCGCCCCGTCCTTAACCAGCCCTGCCGTGCCCGAGTCACTGGAGAGGGGATTGGGCAGGTGAAAATGACAAGACACATGAGCAACAACAGTTTTGCGCCCTTCACGCCGGGTCCACCCCAAACAGGTACGTCACCCCGTCCTTCACCAGCCCCGCCGTGCCCGAGTCACTGGGAAGGGGATTGGGCAGGTGAGGGGAACCAGATATTTCAAAGATGTGAGGATCGGCAGGTGGGGCGCGACCCCTTCCATTCGGGATCGCAAAAAGCGATAAGTCGCTCCATCCTTAGATTATGCAGGCACAGAACGCGAAAAGATTATGCAGGCACAGAACGCGAGGCATGAGCGCAACAGGAAGAGAGCGAAGGGAGGGAAGGAAGAGACGAGGGGGAATGGAGGTAAGGGAGAGAAGCGAGGGAGTGGAGGGAAGGAAGGGAGACTATGGAATGCATGGAAGGGGAATGGGCAGGGGAAAATCGGCGGGAAGGGAGAGAGAGAGATGGGGGGCTTGGGGAATCAACTGGCAGACAGGCGTAGGGCGGTGGTAGGGCGGGTAGGGAAGGAATGGAGCTGGGGAAGGAGTGAAGGCGAAGCGAGGGAATGGAGGGGCAGAGAGAGCAGGAGCACTGACTGGCAGTCGGGCGTGCGGCAGTGGTAGGCGGTGCCGCCAAAGAGGGAGAAGTCAAAGGCGAGGGAGAAGAACTCGTTGTAGATGAAGCCGGTGTAGATGGAGAAGATGGACATGAGCAGAATCACGTAGCGCCCCCCATACGCCATCTCTGTGATGTCGTCCAGCTTCTGTAAGAGGGTCAGGCAGGGGGGTAGGCAGTGGCACAGGGGGCGGGTGCGGATGAAGCCGGTGTAGATGGAGAAGATGGACATGAGCAGAATCACGTAGCAGCCCCCATACGCCATCTCCGTTATGTCGTCCAGCTTCTAGTGAGTGACGGGCAAGGAGGGGGGCACAGGAAGGAGAGGGGGAGGGAGGGGGCGAGGTGCAGCGGGCAGTATTGGAGTGGGAGGGGACTCTTCGAGAATTGTTAGAAGGAAAAGGTTGCGGGAAGGAAGGTAAGCCGGTTGGGTCAAAGTGCCTAAGAACTCAGATGCGTCAGCGTCAACCGCACGTGCCTGGGAGCCGGGCTTCTTCTCGTTGAGCACGAGGTAGAGCAAGGCAAGCAGCATGAGGGCAGAAGCAAGAAGAGGAGTGCACATGGTCATAGAGCGGCGTGTGCGTGGGAGCCGAGAAGGAGGAAGGTGAGCAGCACGTGCCTGAGAGCCGAGCTTTTTCTCGTTGAGCACGAGGTAGAGCGAGGCGAGCAGCATGAGGGTGCCGTGGCCCCAGTCGCCAAACATGATGGCGAACAGGAACGGGAACGTCATGATCGAGAACACCCCCGGATTCGCCTCCTGGTACCGCGCCACTCTGAGGTGTGGAGGGGCAAACGGGGTGGGGGTTGTGGAGACAGGGAGGGGGGGTGTGGGGACATGGTGTGGGGGCAGAAGGGTTGAAAGGGACGAGGTCGTTGCAGCTCGTTTCTGAGAGCATGCTTGATGAGGAACACGCCCAGGTTGGCAGCAATACGAATGAGAGGAGAAGCGTGTATTCTCCCTTCAGGTTGGGCATGGGAATGAGAATGAAGGAGGGGTGAGCTCTCACCCATAGGCGTCAACGATGGCTTGGAAGGCGGAGGTGAACTTGTTGGTGCGGAAGAAGGTGGGCGGGGCGTGCAGCGAGTCTTTCAAGTCAGCTCAAAGCAAGCCAGTCCAAGAACCCAGACTCGTGGCGTGAGAATGAGAATGCAAGGGGAATGAGGGATGATTGAGTAGTGAGCTCACCCGTAGGCATCAACGATGGCCTGGAAGGCGGAGGTGAACTTGTTGGTGCGGAAGAAGGTGGGCGGTGCCTCGCGGGAGCGCAGAGTGTGGAAGATGGTGCTCACTGCTGCGTTGCTCGCCGCCATGCCCCGCTCCAACGCCTCCTGCACCTGATGTCGTGAGTCATGCATTGTGTGTGCCATGTGCCATGCGCGTGTACCATGCGTGTGCGCCAAGCGCCATGCATGTGGTAGGTGCGCCATGCAAGTACCAAGTGCCCCAGCCATGCGCCATGCGCCATGTGCCATGTGCACAATGTGACAGCCCATGTGTCATGCGCCATGTAACAAGTGACATGTGCACCATGTGGTCATGGGCCATGGCATGTGCATGCTCACCACATGTTCATGTGCATGCCCCCATGCGCATGATCCCATGTGTGCGAGTGGTCATGCGCCCAAAGAAAGCAATGAATAAAGAGGGGAAGAAACAGGTTAGGTCCGGCTGTCAGGCGTGCTCTTTTCAGCTAGAGCAAGGAAGAGTCGCATTGCACTTTCACGCAGCCAGGAGAGGAGGGCGAGGGGGGGGGTCAGGAAAGGGGGCATGAAAAGGGAAAAGGCAGGAGAGGGGAGAGGAAGGAGCAGGAATGGAATGGGGGGATGGGGTGGGAGAGAGGGGAGGGGGGGTGGGGGGTGAAGGAGGGAAAGGAAGGGAGGCTGGCGAAGGAGGGGAAGTAAACAAACATGGAGGAACAAAGCTGACAGAAAAGACAGAACAACAGAAGCACGCAAGCACAGACGATGGCTTCAGCAGGCCTCACGAACCAGTCGGCCACAACAAAGGCTGGGCAGCATGCGTACCTTGACGAGCGCGGAAGTGGGGCACCAGGCCTCCGCCACAAGACACTTGCGTGTGACATCGATGGACAGCTGGTTGAGCACGTGGTACACTGCCTTCTCATTGCGCACCTGGTGTGGGGGGGTGGGAGGGGGGGGAAGGGCAATGGGGAGCGGGGAGTGGGGAGGGGAGGGGCGGGGGTCGGAAAGGCGAAAGGAAATGGAGAGCTGGTTGAGCACGTGGTACACTGCCTTCTCATTGCGCACCTGGTGGCGGCGAATGGGAGAAGCGGAATTGGTAAGGGGAGGGACGAGGGGAGGCGGGGAGGGCAGCGGTGGAGAGGGAGAAGGGGAAACGAGAGAGGGCCGGAACGGTGAGCGGGTAAGGGAGCACCAGCTTTCGGTGACGGGGAATACAAGTGGGGTGAGGGTGAAGGTGGGGAACCGAGGGGAAACGAGAGGAAGCGAGGGGGTGGAAGCAAGCGAGGGAGCGAAAAGACGCGCGAGGAGGTAAAGACGCGTGAATGGGTGAAGACCTACGAAAAGGAAAGACAGGAGGGGCAAAGATGCACTAACTAAGACAGACGGGAGAAGGAGTGTAACAAGAGTGAACGGGGCCCAGAAACCCAGAGAGACCCAGAGAGAACCCGAGAGACCCAGAGAGAACCCGAGAGACCCAGAGATGCGCGGTAAGGTGCAGAGAGCCGCGAAGGGGTTGAGAATGGCGCATGCACGGACCAGCGAGGTCCAGCGGTCGACGTAGACGCTGATGCTGTTGAGCACGTTGTCGCGGTGGCGGTTGCCCGCGTCTATCGCCGTCTGTAGCTCCCCCAGCCGCCCTCGCACCTGCACGAGACGGAGAGGGGGAGGGGGAGGGAGCGACACAGGAACGAAGAAGGTGACGCAAGGTTGAAAGTGGGAGGGAGCGGAGGACGCCTCACAGGAAGAAGAAAGCTGAAGCGGTGCATAAAGAACGAAGAGTCGCAAAGTGCGGAAACGAGACAGGAGGGCGGGGACAAAACAGAGGGAGAGTGAGCAGGTTGGGGATAAGGGGGCGCGAGTGGGGAAGGGTTGAAGCGGGAGAAAGGGGATGGGGAGGAGGAACGGACGAGGGTGCATCCCACATATCATCTTAAAAAAAGGTGACCTGTGACTCTTGAGCCGAGTTCACGGTCCCCTGCGCGCAACGGTGTGGCACGAGCGCACGCACCTCAGCGAGCATCTGGCGCTGGCGCGCGGGCTCCTCAGGGAAGGGGTAGCGGTTGGCGCCAAATGCCTCGCAGATCCGCATGATCTTGGTGCGCGCTCGGTCGCCCGAGAAGAACACCACGAACACCACCTTCTCCACCTGCGCTCATGGGGGGACACGATGGGGGGGGGGATGGCAGGACGAGGGATCAGATGGGAGGGTTGAATGAGTGAGAAGGAGTGAGAAGGAGTGTAACGGGAGGGCATGACGAGGGAGGGCAAGAGAGGGTGTTCAAGTCGAGGGGGGGCACGACAAGGGCATCACGAGGGAGGAACCATGTTTGCAATAGCCACAAACGACCCTCTTGATTTTGAGAAACAGAGTGGGGCAGAACAGCAGTCGCCACATCCAGTGCATCCGCAACTGAGCATCAGCAAACTCTCTCCCAGCTCCGCCAGCTCACCTGCTCGCCAATGGCGGGGTCGAGCACGGGCTCATCCACGACCTCCTGCTTCAGAAACATGTTGCCACGCGCGTGACGAAACAGCATTGTCCACATTCAAGGAATCCGCACCTGTGCACCCGCAACCTTCCCTCCCAGCCCCGCCAGCTCACCTGCTCGCCGGTAGCGGGGTCGAGCACGGGCTCATCCACGACCTCCTGCTTGAGAAACATGTTGCCGCGCGTGGCGCGGAACAGCAGGCGCTCGAACGTGACGACCTTGCTAAGCGGCACCAACCCCGTCACGAACCCCAGCCGCTTGCTCGAATCCGACGCCATCTCCTGGATACAGCAATCGGGGGAGGGGAGAAGAAGAGGGGGGGAGATGGGGAGAGCCGGAGAGGGGGAAAGGGGGGAGGGAGGAGGTGGAGAGGCGCAGGGTGAGTATTGGCCGAACAGGAGGCGTTTGTTCGAATCCGAAGCCATCTCCCTGGAAACAGGGCGGGGGGAGGGGGGAATGGTGAGAGGCGCGCAAGCAGGATGTTCATAAAGAAAATAAAAAAGAAGACGAGGTGACGACAATAAAATGTACATACTACGCAATGCGCACCTGCTCGAGCAGGAGCGGGCTGTCCATGGATGCGCTCTCGCGGATGGACGACACGCGCTCGATCTCCCGCTGGTAGTCCGCCGCGCCCATCTGCGCGCTCGCGAAGAACGACCCCGCCTGGAGATGCATGCGAAGAAGCGGGAAACGGAGAGAGAGGGAGATAGAGAGAGAGAGAGGAAGCGCGAAAAAACAAAAGTTAGAATGCCACAGGAAGAAAGGAATACGTGGAGATGAAGTGACGGGGAAACAGTGAGAAGACCTAGGGCGTGGATCTAGGCGTACGATGAGAGTGAAGCATATTACGGAACGACCATCAACGGATGGGAGCAGGAACAGTGAGTGGAGATACCAAGGGACGACGGGACTGAAGATCAGCCGAGGAAGGAATAAGTCCGGGATGCATGAAGGACGGGGATGTATCAACCCACATTGTCCACAGCAGCACATCCTACAATGTCGACATTACTGCAGTGCAGATGATCAACACTGTCGCACCTTATCGCTTGAACGACATCGACCCACAACTATTCCAGGACGACCACGCGACATTCAGGGATCCATGACTTCGAGGCGATCACGCAACTTGAGAAGCTCTTCAACATTGTTTATCGATCCCATCTCATTCCCCCCGATCCCCACCCACCCCTCCATCAACCCCTTTATCAACCCCTCATCAGCACCTTCTTGACCCCTTTTTCGGCAGCTTATCGGCATTGCTCGCACCTTTTCCAGGACCAGCTTGAGCTCCGTGAGCTCGTTGCGCGTCTTGAGCAGCTTCTCCGCGTTACCGTTGATCTCCAGTAGCTCCGCCTCCAGATCGTTCAGCTTCAGCTGCATAGCGACACGCGCAAGCAACAAAGTAAACAAGCAACCAGATTGGCAAGCAAGAATGTAAGCACTCGTTCAGGGAAAACGGTCAACGAAACGCGAGGCATCCACGACGCAAAAACGCTCGAAAAAAAACATACGAAAATGCATTGAGATAACGCGGGGAAAATACGAATAGACCCGTTCGTCTCCGTCTAGATTTTCCGTCTAAGACGACGGACCTCGAGATCATCCAGGTCGAGATCCTTGTCGAGCGTCCGCGGTTGGGTGGGGAGAATCCCAGCCTTCAGCGACTGCTCTTTCAAATACCGCAGCTTGCGAGACATCTCGCCACATCGCTTTACCTGATGCAGAAATAAAAAAACAGGTCAGCGATGGTAGCGCCATTTCAAAACTCCAAGGCATGAAAAAATAGACTGGTGAAAATCGTTAGTGAAAAGAGGAGGAAAAGAAGAAACGCACTTGGTTCGCATATGTTCGCTGAAACGGGCTCTTGTCCGGGTTCATCTGCGAGACGTCAAGCACGGAAAGAGAAGTGAGGCGGAAATGTCGATATGAGCTATCTCCTACTGAGAACAAAACCGACTACAAAGCGCAACCCGTAAACGACGGAGGAAAACGCTCAGCTAGGACCCTACGTCTTTAAACTGGACGAGGCCGAGCTCTCCGAGATAAGAAATAGTGTCATGCGCCGCTTCCGCGGGAATAATGAGCTGCATCAGCTGCATTTCCTCGGACCGAAACAGGTCCATCACGGGCTCGGACCCCATGGCTGCCTCTGAGGGAGACAACTCCTTTTTAAGAAACCCTAATGGCTCTGATCTGGACTAAGCTGTGGGAGGCCCCACAGCGCGAATATTCGTCGACTGGAATTACTAGCGCCTGGAACTAGAAGCCTGACCACCAGAACTCTCTCCAGTCAACCTCAAACCAACGCCAGGGGCAAGCGCTGAAACCAGGAAACCATGAAACCAGGGGAACTGTGGACTGGACACCAGAAAAATCGGGGAACCAAGGTACTGTAGCTAGCAAGCAGAAGCAAGCGGGGGAGAAGGAGAAGCAAGGTCACCTGAAGCCAGAGTGGTAAAGTAGGGCAGTCTCGTAATCGAGAGAATTGCTCCAGTGCCTTGTTTGGTGATTCGCTCTTGCCCACGTGTCCCCGAATTGCTCGAGTGGCCATCAAATTCAGTGATAATTGCTCGAGTGGCCACGCCAGGGCATTTTAGAGGGCCTTTTTTTCTCCGGCACATTACCCTACCAGCATTTGTATCCCCGAAATTCCTCGTTCGCACGAGTCTCATCCCGCGGTAGTGATTCGTATTATTCCCCACCCAAAAATTTCGGGTGGTTGGCGGGCGCGAACGTGGCCCGACCAACAGTATATGCGCGGCCATTTTCGCCCCAGTGCGCGACCAATGAGCGCGCGGGCAAACAAATTCGTAACCAATAAGCGCTCGAGCATATAAATCCGCGATCATAAACCTCAATTGACCAGCATCAAACCGCAACAGTCCTAACGACCGCGCATGATTCGTCAATGATATGCTCGATGCAATTGTTGGCATTACACGTCCAATCAGGTGCCATCATTAAGTATTGCGACCATATTTGACCGCGCAAATGAAACTCAATTTACTTTATGATCTCGCCAATTATATGCTAAAAACACTCGCACAAACATATACTCTGGCCAATTAGGTTCAAATTAAAACGCTCATTATCAGATGGATGCATGAGTACATTCCATGTACCATTTAAACGGCAACGGCTTAAACATGTCAAGCTCTATGCATGTGCATGCTGAGTCCTAAACATTGATTTGGAGTTTACGATGCAAGCCGTTTCAACATTTATTGTGTTTTGTGACCAAGGAAGGTTTCGATGATGTCGTCAGCCGCCCCTGCACACGTTGAGCAAACGGTGACATGAGTAGTAAGCAAGGCTAGCAATTTGATGGTTCTAATGATAAGCAATGATGTTAAAACCATACATCTCACCAGCTGTTGGCTCGCTTGCCAGTGCGGAGCCGTGAGACGGGGGGTTGGGATTGTTGGGTGAAGTCGACATGCTCAAGCTGTGTTGTGAATCTGTCATGCCAGCTACTGGATGTGCCGTGCTGGGTGCAACGGCTGGTGGTGTGGGTAGGACATGCGGATGGGGTGCCGTGTTTTGTGCTGCGGAATGGCCTGCAGGGTTGGGAGCAATGGGTGCTGAAGGGGCTGGGTGTACGGAGATAGGGCCTTGCACCTGGCTGAATGGATGGATAGGGATTTGGTTGAATGCAAACTGCTGGGATGGAAAATGGAGGTTGGGAGGAGGGTGTCTGTGGGTGTACGGCTGCCATCCACCAGGGTTTGGGGTTGCACCTGCGTGTCCCGCGAAGGCGGCGGCTGGCGGGTGGTAGTTGCCAAACGTGGCTCCAGGGTGCTGGTGGGATAAGAGAGGTGGAGCATGTGTGTGAACTCCTGCTGGCGCTGGGGTGGAAGGCTCAGGGAGGCTGCTGAGCACTTCACGCCAGTTCCTCCACTCTGCCCACCGCTTCGCATCCACAATCCTCTCAACCCCTTGCGACGTCAGACCCTCCAAACACCTCCTCTCTTCCACGCTCAACTACACCATCTTCGAGCTGGAGATGGACGGTCGGCAGATCTGGGCGGCTGCCGCAAATGCTTTTGCGGCATCCAAGACCTCGTTATACCGTCCCAGCGCCAACCAGTTGTTATCTAGGCACAGTCGTGCCGCCCACTTACCTTCCCGTCTGCTTATACCAGTATAACCTGAGCTAGGAGCTCGACCACGCGCAGTGTTGCGACTCGTCGTCTCAGTCCCTGTGCTGTATGCGGACACCAAATCCACATCCATATTCGAGGCAGTCACACCATGCCCAGTACCCACGGCCTCTCTAGCACCTCTATTACCATCCGTAGTATCCAACAAGCCTCCGGCACCTTCATCACGCCCCTTCCCACCTTCACCAGTCTCAACGGCCGCCACAGGACCCTCACCATGTGCACCTGGGTTGTTGTCATGTGTGCCAACATTGTCCCCACCCATGACTTCCACAGGTGCAGGTTCACCAATTCCACCGGCCCCTGCCACATCACCATGTCCCTCCCCTGCAGCCTCACCGTCTACGCCATGCTGCGGAGTACGAGAAAGCATCAGCTCACGCAATTGCCTCTCGAGCTTGGCAATAGCCACTGCCTGACCCTCATTGCGAACCTCCAGCCTATGCATCCGTTCTGCCATCTCCGCTCTCCACTCCCTATCCTCCACCTCATCACCTATCACCTCAGGCTCGGGCGGTTTCCTTATCTCATTGCCAGGAGGGATCTCATGCCCAGCTGCCGTGAGCTCGCCGATCAACCGTCCTTCTGCATGAGCGCACACATCCTCCCGTAACCCGCGTCGATATGCCAGTGGGCTCATGCTGAACCGTACCCCGTTCTCAGCACCTTCGAAACACGCCTCCACAAGCGTTTGAATGTACTGACATACGAAGATGCCGCAGTCAAAATCGTTCTGCTGCAGAGGCATCTGCCACGCCTGCAATACACCAAATGCACATGCAGCATAAAAAAAAACAGACGAGAGTGTACACGTCTATCATTTGATAAACTATGTATGTAAAATGTTTAATGTCACATGTGCACCATGCAGAGTACAACAGTTTGCACGGGAAAGCACCTTGCACGTACAGATGGCTGCACTCAACTTAGTGGCACCTTACACACGAGAGCACTTTGAACCGGGCAGTACATTGGTTGTTTGGCAGCACGAGCCTCGCTTTCATCTCTTCTATTGGTCGGTTTCCATGGTCCTTCTCGAAGGCCATGCCTAGCAAGCTGTGACGGGACCGCGTTGGGAAGGACAAAAGACGAAGTGGAAGTTAGAATAAATGAAACTAAATCATGCACGGTGATGTTTGCGTGCTTGTAAGGGAATTTGTGTTCGCAACCTCTAGCGGAACCTTACTTGGTCATGTTCTTGAATGCATTGCCCCCAACAGCATGCATCCCAAGGGAGTCATACAGCAGCAACCACGCAGGCTGGGTGGCGATGTCCTCGTCGAGCGGGAGAGTCACAACTCCAGGATTGACCACAATCATCACACTGAAATGAAACCTGCATCGTCACCACATTACACAACTAATGTCACGGTCAGGCAAAACAACAGCCGAAGCCCTTTGCGTGTAGGCTAGACTAGACATGGGATCATGGCACTTACCCGCCAAAGATTGGCATGGCCAGATAGTCGTAGCTGAAGATCGACGCTCTGGAGTCTCCACTGGCGATCTTGCCCCGTGAGCAGAAGTAGTCGTAACTTTGACTATCCAACGCGAGCCACGTCTTGCCATTGCTCAACTTTGGCCGGCGGATGTTGAGCACTCTGCGGTGAAAGAGGCAGTAAATGTAGCACAACAATGATGGTGATGGTCACGAATCGCATTCGTGGGAAAAAATGGATGCGTAAACTTGTCCGCAGTAGCTCTAGACTCCTCGTGTGTGTTTAGCAACGGGATCTTGGTATCTCCGGTGATTTTAGCAATGAGATCGTCAGGTTGTACCAACGGCGTCTCAAACTCCGGCTCCACGCCATAATCGTGGGGAGCTACTTTTTTCAAGACCACCGGATCAGACGGCGTGGCGCAATGCTCCTTGTTAGTCGTCGCGTTTGCGTGGCCCAATTTCAGCCTATCACTACGACGAAGACCGTCATCTTTGTCAGATTTATATGACATAGCTACTGTAGGCTAGAGTGGGGTAGCACATATGGGGTACAGTTTTCTAGGGTTTGCTTCTTGTACCCAACTTTCACTTAGTCATTCTCATTCCTGTTTTTCTTGTTTCACATGGTATAGAGCGGGTTCCTACATGGGACCGTTCCTTCCTAAGGGCCCACCATAAGATTTTTTTTTTAGCTGCCCGCGCACATTGCGCCCTGCCCTAAATTTTTTTTTTTTTAGCGGCCCCTACGCTGCCTCTACGCGGCCCCTACGCCGCCTCCCACGCGCCCCCTATGCGGCCCCTGGCGGCGCCCTGACGAGGCCCCTGCCGGCGCCCTATCGCGGCCCCTGACGCGCCCCCTGGTGGCGCCCTGACGCGGCCCCTGGCGGCGCCTGACGCGGCCCTGACGCGGCCTGACGCGGCCCCTGGCGGCGCCCTGACGCAGCCCCTGCCGCGGCCCTGACGCGGCCCTGCCGCGCCCCCTGACGCGGCCTGCCGCGGCCCCTGCCGCGGCCCTGAAGCGGCCCCTGACGCGGCCCTGACGCGGCCCTGACGCGGCCCTGCCGCGACCCCTGGCGGCGCCCTGACGCGGCCCCTGATGCGGCGCCCTGACGCGGCCCCTGCCGCGGCCCTGACGCGGCCCTGCCGCGGCCCCTGACGCGGTCCTGACGCGGCCTGCTGCGGCCCCTGCCGCGGCCCTGAAGCGGCCCCTGACGCGGCCCTGAAGCGGCTCTGCCGCAGCCCTGACGCGGCCCTGACGCGGCCCTGACGCGGCCCCTGGCGCGGCCCCTGCCGCGGCCCCTTACGCGGCCCTGACGCGGTCCTGCCGCGGCCCCTGGCGGCGCCCTGACGCGGCCCCTGACGCGGCGCCCTGACGCGGCCCTGCCGCGGCCCCTGACGCGGCCCCTGCCGCGGCCCCTGACGCGGCCCCTGACGCGGCCCCTGTCGCGGCCCCTGACGCGGCCCCGCCACCTACCTTTCTGGCCCCGCCGCCTCCTCTCAGCGGCCCCGCCGCCTCCTCTCAGCGGCCCCGCCGCCTCCGCCCAGCAGCCTAGCCGCCCAGCAGCTGAGCCACCGAGCCGCCCAGCAGCCGAGCCGCCGAGCCGCCCAGCAGCCGAGCCGCCCAGCAACAGAGCCGCCGAGCCGCCCAGCAGCCGAGTCGCTGAGCCGCCCAGCAGCCGAGCCGCCGAGCCGCCCAGCAGCCGAGCCGCCCAGCAGCCGAGTCGCCGAGCCGCCCTACAGCCGAGCCGCCCGAGCCGCCCTGTCCGGTAAGAGCAGCGCCTCTCTCACAGCACTGCCCTCACCCCACTGTTTGCGCTGCTAGTCTACTACTGTCATGGCTACCCCTAGTGTCCTCGCTTTTGACGCTGAGGGTCGGGCCATTGACTTTGACGTCTGGATAGATGACCTGCAGCTTTTCTTACAGTGCGATAGGGCAGACGGCCTCTCCCTCTTTGACCTCACTTCTGGTGCCTCTCCTGCTCCCGCCACTGATGCTGACGCAACTGTTCGCTCCCAGTGGGCCACGCGCGATGCTGCTGCGCGTCTTGCTGTGCGTCGCCACCTGCCTACCTCTGAGCGTGCGCACTTTAGCCAGTACAAGAGTGCTCAGACCTTGTACGACGCTGTAGTTGCACGCTACTCCTCCCCTGCCACTGCTGCACTGAGCCGCCTCATGCTACCGTACCTCTTCCCTGACCTTGCTGCCTTTCCCACAGTCGCTGACCTCATCACGCACCTCCGCACTAGTGACACTCGCTACCGCGCTGCACTTCCTGCTGAGTTCTGCGCCAAGAACCCCCCCCCCATGTACATCACCCTCTACTACATCGTCACCCGTCTCCCTGACTCCCTTCGCGTAGTCAGGGACCACTTCCTCTCGGTTTGTCCCACCACTCTCACCGTTGACCTCCTCGAGAAGGCCCTCCTAGCAGCAGAAAAGAGCATAGTCGCTGTAGGAGCCTCTCGTGGTGACCCTCGCACCCCCATCTTTGAGGGGTGTTCCCCCTCCCCTCTTTTGCCCTCTGTTGCCTCTGCTGCTGCGGCCGACCTCGCTGGTTTGGAGTCGGTTGGGGCAGCGTCTACCCCTAGCGGGAGACGCCGCCCTGGCAGGGGCAAGGGGGGCAGGGGCGCTGGAGGAGCTAGCGGGGGCGGTGGAGGCGGCGGTGGAGGTGGTGGAGGAGGTGGTGGTGGCGGTGGGAGTGGTGGCGGGGGTGGAGGTGTAGGTGGCGGCAGTGGAGGCGCAGGAGGCAGCGGCGGTGGCGGAGGGAGCGGAGGTGGCGGCGGTGGAGGAGGAGGCGGCGGAGGAGGTGGAGCTGGTCGGGGTGGCGCTGCGCAGAGGGTCAGCTCCGGTGGTGGTCAGCGCCAGCAGCAGCAGCAGCAGCAGCAGCAGCAGCGCACTCGTGACGTCCCCTCCCCTCAGCAGCTCCGTGAGTGGTACACTGCACGCCAGAGGGGTGGGGGTGGTGGTCCGTGCACCTACGTCCTGCGCACCGGCGACCGCGCGGGTGAGCAGTGCGGGGGTGCGCACTCCACCCAGCGCTGCTTTGGCCGCCTCACGGACGCTTGGCGTCACCAGTTCCCTGAGGCCACTGAGATCCCCCGCTGGGGTGAGCTGTCTAGGGCGGGTGTAGCTGTCTTTGACCTTGACTTTGATGCTATTCTTGCTGCCGTGTATACTGTGACTATTAGTGATGAGGGTGACTGTTACCGGTGTTTTCCGCCCGACCCGGGCATTGAGACTGCT